AAAAAAAGCTAAAGAGGATAGAGAGAAACACTGTTAACCGATGATATATGGAGGGGATAATAATCAATGTAATGAAACAAGCTATATGAATGGTTGAATGCGAAGCTGATGATGTGCCCTGTAAACTTTCACTCAATCCAAAATAAAAACATTTAATTAAAAACAAAAAAACAAAAAAAGAATACTTGTGGAGTATATTCTTTATTATATGAGCCAATATGTTATTAAGCTAAAACGTGATCCCAAGGGCTTATTTCAGCTCAAGTTTAAAGGATATTGCAGGACAATAGTCTCAGAAATTACTTCAGTCTCAACCAGTAAGTCTTTTCAAAATTTCTGTTTTTGTTCTTTTTGCATTTGAAGTTCTGTTCTATAATCATCTTCCATTCTATCAGAATCTATCTATCGTGGTCCAGATTAGAATGGTTGCTGGGTACCAATCATTCTTATAGTCTCAGGGTAGATGAGGCCATGGTTCATGTAGACTATTAATCCTACAGATCTGTTTCTTCTGTCAGTTTGTAGTTTCCATTTTTCTCTTTTGTTTCAGACAAGTAGAGACCAATAGTTATATCTTAGATGGCATTCACAAGTTTTAAAGACCTCAAGGCTATAATCTTTACGGAAGTAAAGCCACAACTTGTTCCAAAGAAGCAACTGGAAGATTTGAACTGAGGACCTTTGGGTTAGCAGCCAACCACTTAACCACTGCTTCACCAGTGTTCCTTAGACAAGCACTATGAATGTAAATGCTTAAATTTTTAAAATTTAAAAGAATTATTTTAAAGAATTTGGCTGTCAAGCAATTAACTCCAAAAATCAAAAGAAGATAAAAGAATGGTTCAAAGTACATGGTATTCTGCATTTAAATCCTGTTATATAGCGCCTCCTTCCAGAAGAATTCCAATCCATAAATACAGAAAGAAAGAGGGTAGAAGAAGTTTACTATTGGGCAAACACTACAGTAATATTTATGACAGATGATCCACTGAAGAATGCTACAATTAGTGGATAAAAGTTTAAGTACAAACAGGATATTCTGCATAGTCGCAAAGCATCTCAAGGTATTTCTAAACTTCCAAGGAAAAACAGTAGCTTTACAGGGGAGAAATCCAGCAAAACCTTCCTTAGCCAAGTGATCAAGTTGAACAGCAGCTGTAACAACACATACTAATGCTATGAATCAAGCCCTTGATATGATGATACACTGGGAAAAGAACAGTGTCACTTTTGTGATCTTTTTGCAACAAATGGATAAACTCAATTCAATCATTAGAAAACATCAGACAAACTCAAAATGAAAGACATTCTGCAAAAACAACTTTAAAAATGTTAAATTCACACAGATTGTCGTAGTTCCTAAGTGCCACTGAGTCAATTCCGACTTATACCAACCCTGTGTAGGGTTTCTGAGGAGCAGCTGATGAACCTGAACTGCCGACCTTACAGTTCAAACGGGCCTTGCAGTTCATTGCATTAACATACAGCGCCATACCAGAAGTCCTCACCACAGATTGTTGTTGTTGTTAGGTGCCATTGAGTCGGTACCGACTCATAGCGACCCTATGCACAGCAGAATGAAACACCGCCCAATCCTGGGCCAACTTCACTATTGCTATCACGCTTGAGTCCATTGCTGCTGCCACTTGGCCAATCCATCTTGTTGGGGGTCTTTCTCTTTTTCTCTAACCCTCCACCTTACCAAACATGATATCCTTCTCTCTAGTGACTGGTCCCTCACAATATGTCCAAAGTATGAGAGATGAAGTTTGGCCATCCTGGCCTCCAAGGAGCACTCTTGGCTGCACTTCTCCCAAAATGGATTTATTGGTTCTTTTGGCAGCCCATGGCAGTTTCAATATTCTCCTCCAACACCACAATTCAAAAGCACCAATTCTTCTACGGTCTTCCTTATTCACTGTCCAGCTTTCACATGCATATGAAGTTATTGAAAATACCATGGCTTGGGTCAGGCGCACCTTAGTCCTCAAGCTAACATCTCTGCTCTTCAATACTTTAAAAAGTTCCTGTGCAGCAGATTTGCCCAATGCAATACGTCGTCTGATCTCTTGACTGCTGCTTCCGTGAGTGTTGATAGTTGATCCAAGAAGAATGAAGTCCTTGACAATTTCAATCTTTTCTCTGTTGATAAAAATGTTGTTTATTGGTCCTGTGGTGAGGATTTTTATTTTCTTTACATTGAGATATAATCCATACTGAAGGCTGTGTTCTTTGATCTTCATCAGTAAATGTTTTAAATCCTCTTCACTTTCAGCAAGCAAGGTTGTATCATCTGCATATCGCAGGTTGTTAATGAGTCTTCCTCCAATCCTGATGCCACGTTTTTCTTCATATAACCCAGCTTCTTGGATTATTTGCTCAGCATACAGGTTGAATAAGTATGGTGAAAGAATACAACTTTGTTGCACACATTTCTTAAGTTTAAACCATTCAGTGTTCCCATGCTCTGTTTGAACAACTGCCTCTTGGTCCAGGTACAGATTCCTCATGAGCACAATTAAGTGTTCCGGAATACTCATACTTCGCAATGTTGTCCATAGCTTGTCATTACCCACACAATTGAAAGCCTTTGCATAGTCAATAAAGTACAAGTAAATGTCTTTCTGATATTCTCTGCTTTCAGCCAACATCCATTGGACATCAACAATGATATCCCTCGTTCCACAGTCTCTTCTGAATCCAGTTTAAACACCTGGATAGAATCCTAGAGAATTTGATCGGCCTGGTTTAAAAGCAACATGACCAAGACTATAAAGGATATTGAATATATCTTGACCAAGCTGCAAAGTGAGGCCCCTTCCAAAACACTTGTTGAAGCCGCCAAGGAAGCCAAAGAAAAGGCAGCTACAGAAATGGCCAAGACCTTGCCAATAAGGCAGCCACCAAGCAGCAGCAGCAGTTTGTGTAGCCATCCTGGTCCTTCCCAGCATCACCAACAGCGATCAGCAGACAATCCAGCTGCAACCCCTCTGACCTAGCTCTAGTGTGCTTTCTTATTAAAATCAACTTCCAGCCCTATCGACTGTCTGGGGTGGGGTGGGGAGTGGAGTGAGGGGCCGGTTTGGCATCTACAGGACACCAAGCACATTATCCATGTCTGTGCCAGGCCTGCGTATTACCCCATTGGGCACCTGAGGCACAGAGAGGTGTGCAGGTGATGTGGTATAAACCCTAGACTATAGCTTCATCCTAAGGGCAGGGTTCTGTTTGTTCTTTAATGTGTTTCAAGTACATCTAGTACACATTAGGCACTCACCAAATATTTG